AAAAATATAATAAAATCCAGTGCGATTTTATTAATCAACTTCTAATAACGTATTATTCATATTAAAATTCATTGCTTTCATATTCAAAAGAAATAAATATTTTAACTATTCTAAGATATTATTATATAAATAGATAATACAGAAACGATTATTTTATAAATTTAATGTAAATTTCATTTCTTCTTAACTCGAATAGGGCTACATTTAAATACATAAATTAATATTATGTTATTTATACAACTTTGTTTTTATTTAGGTTTTTTATTATCCATTTAATACTGCAAACATAATATATTTTGCTTTATACATCATATTTTAGTGTATGACAAAAGAAATTAAATGTATATTATTATATGAATTAGTTAATCACATGTTTTATTTATATAATTTTTTACACATAAAATAAATACATTTTGAAGTGTAATATATTAGACAGTGAAAACTTTCTTTTTATATTCAGATTAATTTTCAAAAAAATTATTAAAAGCGTATATTTCTTTAATTACTCATTTTTTTTATTAATAGTAAGGTTAATAATATATGATTTAAATAAAAAAAAAATTTCTTACTTTACAAGTAATAAATGCATTAATATGGGATAATTTACTTGAATTATAAATCAGCCATTGGAAGCAATACATAATATAACAACCATATAGCAACTACATAATTTTACATAAAAATTATAGCTTTATGTATATTGAAAAGAAAATAGGTCTAATTGTCACATCTTCGATTATATACAGATTTCACTTGCAACTTCTCAATTTGGTTAACGAAAATTGGAAAGCCTACACTATCAATAAGCAGAAATGGCCTGAGTGCGCACATGAACGGATCATGCGCCACATTATAGTGATTTAATAGACAGTACATACTGATATTTTATATCATTTTTCTGCTTCTTATTTTAATTAATAATAATATCACTACATTTTATAAAAGTTAAGACGTGAAAATTGGGTAAGTTCTCATTTTATTTAATTTAAAAAAATACTTTTTTTTTTTATTAAAGCTATTGTATAAATGAACATTTAAAGATTCATCCAAGTTCACAACATAGTCTTTGTAAATAAATAATGTCTACATCTGTCTTAGTTTTTAATATTAGTTATAATACATAATTACATTATAAGTATAATTACATTATAATTCATTTTATCTTCTTTTTTTGATAATATGATAAGAATTTTAATTTAAAAAATATGACTAATATGTTAAATATACACTGTATATCTTTCCTCAATTTTTTTATGTTTTATAAAATTGTAGGTACGATATGAGTGTTGTACATAAGGAAGGCTGTATAAAGAGTGCTTAATCAATATTACAGCGATTCAACTAGAGTGATATTATATAGTAACAACCGAAACAATAATCCCAAGAAAAAAATTTTAAGCAATCCGAAAGAAAAATAGGATTTTAAGAAGTATGCATTTAACCGCCAGCTTTGTTATATGCTTGACTGCTGTACTGTATATTGGTGAGTTTATAAAATAATTAGCATCGAATTAATTTCTATATAATTGTGTAATTATTCTAAATATCAACAAATTAAAAAAATAAATAGTATAGTGTCTATGATTCAACTTAAAAACGACTAACTGAAAAAGTATTTTTATTTATGTTTATATATATATCTATTTAGTATTAATAACAGTTATTAGTTAAATACAAATACAAATTTAAAACTGAAATAAAAAATTTTAATTGGAGTTCCATTTTTTATATATTATCATTCAATACCAGACATACACGATAAAGTTAGTTAATTAAAATTTCGTAGATAAACATTCAATAAAAATATATATTTTATATACTAAAATATATAAAAAAATTTGTAGCATCACATATAGTAATATTTCGATTTATTTATTATTATAATATTTGTTTCCTTATAAATATAAATATTTACAAAGTATCATAGTTTCACAAAATATAATCTCAAACTTTACTATAAATGAAGCAAAAGCAACAATTCATAAATATAATAAAAAATAATATTTCTATATAGTTCAATAGGTGGCAATGATATTTTATAATTTATTTGAATTATAAAAATAATATATTAGTTTCTGTAATAAAGCAAAAATAATATTATATATTGAAAATGCTGGTTTTTTATTCATTGCAAGCCTTAGTATTTGCACTAAACTCTGACAAATATCTTAGTATTATCATTATTATTTAAAAAATTATTTTATTTAATTTTATTTATTATTATTTACCATTGCTAAAATTTTACAAATATGAAAAAAAATAAAATAGAAGAAAGAATATATCGTTTACTAAATTTTTTAAATTAGTTTTATTGAGTCGACAATGGTCAAAAAAACAAAAATTATACAATAAAAGTTGTGGATAAAAAATAAAAAATGTTAATAGGAAAAAATAACAGTAATAACATTCGTTTTATGTATTTTCTTAAGAATATTGATTTTTTTCAGATTTAAATAATTCAGATTAAAAGAAAAATACATTTCATTAAAATCGTGTTATATTCGAAAAAGCATACGAGATATTTTATGACAGTTTTATAAATTATATGAAAATACTTTTAATTTTAATTACTTGAAATAATTTTAATTATTATTTAAATTAATTAAAAAAAAATTAAGTTTAAAATTGGAATACTCTCACATAAAATATTTTATTAGTTTTCCATATTGCTCATTGCATTACATTATTACTACTGTAGAATGAACGAAACTATAGTCATATTATCTGAAAAACTATAACTTTATATCCATTTAATAAATTTGAAAATGTTTCTGGTGCATTTGTTCGTTCACCTCGTATAATTAATATTATAAAAATGTATTTCATATTATTTAAAAGAATTTATAGTATTTATAAAATCCATTATATTCTAAAAAAATTTCCTAGAATAATAGACAATTAATTCACAATTTTGCTTTTTTCCATTACGAAATTTATATTTTTTGTGGATTAATACGACAATGCAGATATGAAATTTATTTACTTAGTTGAAATAAAATGGTTTTATTATCTTCTTATTGTACCATCACTAGCTGCCATCAAGAGCACAAAATCTGCAGAATTCATAAGGTAAAAGTTCCATTCCTTAATAACGATAATAATATGCAATAAGCCTCACAAGGTAAAGAATTGTAGAGTGACCAAGCTTACAACATCTGCACAAGGTTGACTAGTATTACTATTATTAATTATGGAAATAATTCTTATGGTGGATTAATGTACTCTCATCTATGAAGCGTGATGATTGAATTTGACCGCAGAATGGCGCGAAGTTTAATTCGTCGACACTCGCGCTGTTTGTTGCTTAAGTCCATAAGCGTCCAAACTTGAACTAAGGTGAGAGTTGCCGACAAGACACCCTTTAGCGGGCGCGAACTTGGCGACGCTTACTGGAATCTATTCCGCACTGTTGCTCTGGGGAGAGCCTCTTCGTCCTTAGTTGCTTGTCGATGTCATAATCTCTGAATCTCAGAGTATGCAATTATTGTAGTAATAATATTACTTACGAAGACTGCTCGTACTTTGGAAATTGGGACCTCCTTGGTCTTTCTTCAAGGGGGCTTGTCATTAGACCCTTGTCGTTGGAATGCGTCGCCCGCCAATAGGATTTGTAACTATAGTTGTATTTAACTACGTAAATAGGAAACTTCCAACGTGTCTGGACTTCTGTAAGGTAATACGTCTCCCGCCAATAGGATTTGTAACGATAGTTGTGTTGAACTACGTTAATAGGAAACTGCCAGCATCTTCGGATTCCGATAAGGGAATGTGTCTCCCGCCAATAGGACTTGTAACGATAGTTGTCTTGAACTACGCTAATAGAATACTTCCACTTCTTATTTGTATAAGTACTGTATCTAGAGTAATGAATATTGAAAAATGCGCCCCTTAAATACATTTGCTGACCATGAACTTCACTTGAATCCCTTCCCTTATTTTTCGTCCAATCAGAGACTTCTCTCTTGCAGAGCGCGGGCAGCGCCTCTTGTGGTTTCATAGTTAATTAAGGGCCTAGTCGTCTCCTGGTCTTCATGGCAAGAAGAGCACTCGTTGCTGCTGACGCATCTGGCGACAGAGTGAGAACTTGTTGATAGCGGGAAGGGGGGGATAGATCCGCTCGCAATAATGCTTGAAGTAATTACCGAGCGGAACGAATTCGCACATATGCCTGACTGAGTGGGTTTTTTCCGTGTTTATTGTATTATTTTTCCAGATGTCTTATGACACTATTGTCAGATAGTTGCGAACAAGAAAGTTTTGAAATCTAAACACAAATTTTACGATGTTGTTTTGTTAGATGTTATATTGCATTGAAAAAAGGTCTTGCAATCTCGAACAAACTTAAAATATAAAATATTCTGAATGCAGTGTTCATATATTTTACAATTACCTAATAGTTATTGTTATATCTCATAATAACATTATTGAACAATTCTAATAAAAATAACAAGTAATTGTATGTAACAAATAAATAAAATGTAATCTATAACTGTCTGCTTTTTAAGACTACATTTTTATCATTTATTATAATGATTAAAGTTTTATTATGGTGGCTTTTGACAGCAAGCAAATTATCGTAAAAAGATTATAAATATATTTGAATTGTATTAAATAGTCAAGAAATAGATTTAATATTTTTCTTAAATGATTTAGTTGATTACAGAACTTAAAATTATTGATATCTTTGATAATGATCATGAGGATTCTGAGAATAATTTTGAAGTAATTACTTCCAATTTTCTTTTTTCTATAATTGAATTCTCTCGGATTTTATTAATAATTTAAATTTCAACTATTCCATTTTTCTATGAATTTTATGAAATGACTGATAAACAGAAATAAACAAATATCTGTATTCTTGCAAAAGTGGCACAATTGTATAATATGAATGTGAATATATATATAAATTTATTGATTATGAAATATAATGCCATTTTTAAATAAACTCCAAAAACTTTAAAAATCATTTTCAGTTGCAGCAGAATACTCAAAAAGAAAATATAATTATTATGGAACCTTTATCGGTAATTTCTCAACATACGCGCATGGCGTTAATGGGGATGCCTATGTAATCGACGAATCTATGCTTTTCATCAAAAACTTCAGCTATGATGGTGTAGAACCAACAGCGTATTTCTGGGTTGGTAATTCATCCAGCCCAACGCCAGATGGCATTGCCGTACCGTATCCTGAACATCGGGATAGGTGAGCCTATATAAAACGATTTAAAAATACTAGTCGTAGAAAATTTTTCACTTTAAATTTTACATTTTTTATAAACTATTTAAATAAATAGTTTACATTTATAAAAGTTAATAAATCATTGATAATGATTTGATTATAAACAAATACATCTAAATAAATATAATTTTTTTGAATTGTGTTCTAGATTTTTATTTAATAAAAAAATAATTATTTAATGATATATTGATATATAGTGCATTCGATTTGACTTGCAAAGTGAAAAAAACATGGCTTCTAAATGTTAATTTAATAAATACAACATCATAAATTTATGCATACAATAAATATATATTTTATATTCTGAAGATTTATATTTAGAAAATATTTATAAATTTATACGTATAAAATACTATTATATATATAAGCTTTTAAAATGTAAAATGAAAACACTCTTATGGCAATTAAAAACGAATTTTATAATTTTCATGTTCAAATACAGTATTGTCTAACCTTTTATCATTATCTATTAAGTATATATTAACAGATAGTCACTCTCCTGTATTATCATATCAAGTATTAAATCTTTATAAATTTATAGTACAGTTCATTTAACATGATTTGCAATTACAAGCATATTTATAAACTGTTTTTCATAATTATTTCATACTCTTCCATTTTCTATATAAAAGCTACATAGTTAGATTTCATTTTAATATGTAAATTTATATATTGTCAACATCGTCGTTTATCAGTTTATCATATATGTACAAATATATTGTAAATGTAAAGTATCAGATACTGATAAATAAATCAGTTAAAAGTAGTATAAAACGTTGAACTCCAGTAAACAATGTCTGCTGTTACATTAAACAGCAAAATTTTAGTTTTTTAAAAAAATTCAGTTTTAGAAGGTATAACGATGTTTTTCAATAATTTACTGAGTTTTTATACTATTTATACAAAAATATAATATATAATAATTTAATAAAGTATAATATTTTTAACTACTACTTATACTACAAATATTTATATTAAATTAATTTTATTATTAAAATTTTGTATTTTTTAACTCATTTAAATTTAAGTGAATTAGTTTGATACTACAATAAATTTCTACTTATATATAGGAAATTAATATATTTATATTTAATATAAATATTATATATTTTATATTAGTATCCAAAGTAATATTTGTAATAAAACAATATATTATTTTAAAATTTTTGTAATTTATCTTTTTTATGATAAGCATGGTAAGTTCGTACATTACTAACAATAAAATTAAGAATAATCAATATTATTAAAAGTATATAATAAAGAAATAAAAAAAAATTAAATATAATTGAAAGTCATTCAATTTAACTTTGAAATTAATTATAATTCGACTAAATGTTTATAATATAATAATACTTTATTGTTGCGTTATTTTTTTTAGTTTTTAAATTTATTAATTTAAATTTTTATTTGAACAATAAAATTAATAGAATAAACATATTAAATTTTATATTAAATAAAACAATAAAATAATCTATTTTCATTTGAAACAACATTTTACTAATAATTGACTGAAATAACTTAAAAATTAAATAATTCCTTTTGGATTAAATTGATTTTATCTATTTAATCATTTTTGTATTTGCTACCTTACAAAAAACTATAAGTTTTTTGTAAAAGTAATACTATGCTATTGTTTATTTGTCAGTGATCAAACACCACTAGAAGCTTTTCTGAATGCTGATGTGATTCTAAGACTTCCAGCTACTATTAAAGTTCGGAACATCAAGTACTTGAGTGTGTGGTGCAGCAGATTTACTGTAAGCACTTCTGTAGAATATTATATTGTTTTGCAAAAAATATAAAAATAAAAGAAAGGGTATTTTAAAAAAAGTATACATTTTTAAAAACGTATTGATATTTTTATTTATTTTAAAATAATTTATAAATATATTTCGATGAATGAAAAAATTCTTATTATTGCTTTTTTAACAAGTCTGAAAAATGAAATTTATAATTTGTAACTTTTATGTAGATGGTATAATTTGAAGGGGTATTCTTGCAGCATAAGCCACTATTAAACCTGCTATCACCACAAATGCTCTGTGGTACATGATCTCTGTAAGCTATTTTTAATTTAGTACTCTATGTGTTACGGATTGAAACAGTAGACAGCGGAATAAATAAGTGGGAGAGGTATGAGCGCCCGAACCACGCACTGTACCACTGTACCTTTAACATCCACTCAGTCGCCACGTACCTGGCTCACGGTGTTTTGACTATGTTCAAGAATGTAAGAAAACTTCTAGTTCGCGCTCAAGCTCGCGATAGCCATACAAATCTTCATGCTCGCGCTAAGCTCGCGACACATACAATTTTTCCAATTCGCGCTATGCTCGCGACACATTCAAATCTTCAAGCTCGCGACACATTCAAATCTTCAAGCTCGCGACACATTCAATTTTTCTAATTCGCGTTCAAGCTCGCGACACATTCAATTTTTCCAATTCGCGCTATGCTCGCGATACATTCAAATCTTCATGCTCGCCCTACGCCCGCGATACATACAATTTTTCTAGTTCGCGCTCAAGCTCGCGACAGCCATATACATCTTCAAGCTCGCGACACACATTCAAATCTTCAAGCTCGCGCTACGCTCGCGACACACATTCAATTCTTCAAGCTCGCGCTACGCTCGCGACACACATTCAATTCTTCTAGTTCGCGCTCAAGCTGGCGACAGCCATACAAATCTTCATGCTCGCGCTAAGCTCGCGACACACATAGAAATCTTCATGCTCGCGCTAAGCTTGCGACATTCTTACAAATCTTCACACACACGAACAAACTCGTGGTCATACTCACACACAATTTCTCAAACTCTTGCTCATGCACATGCACGAACAAACATGTGGTTATACTCACACGCACGAACAAACCCGTGGTCATACTTACACACTTAAGCTCGCGCTCACGCTCGGGACACACCCATACAAGCAAACTAATTCTGCGCGCCATATAGCGCACACCACGAATCAACCCTGCCAAACAACCAAGATGTCAACAAGCGCATAAAGATTTGCCGAACCTAAGAGGGATATTTAAGCCCTACAATAAAGACATGAAGCAAAAAACAAAAAAAAAACTAAGGATTTCTCATAGATCAAGGCAACCCAGAAGCCACCTAATTTTATAATAAATACAAAACCCTTCAGTCACAAGCATACCTGCACACGGGTTATGTCCCACCGACTGACAGCATACACGACTCACTTTAGCATACATATGCCAACAACATTCGATTCTTGAAAGAAGGGAGGTCCCTGTCAAGAAATCGCTTTCAATACATTGTATGTGCACGACAAGGAAGAATTCGTGCCATAAAATACCAATAAGACGATTGACACTCTCCAAGACCGTTTAATCATTCAGGAGTTGATCGTGCCGACCCCTTAACAATATAAACTCGGTAAGAACGGACTGGCAGGAATCGCATCTTTAAAAACAGTCTCTACCACCATGGTAAGACCCACTCATAAGCTGGCAATATTACCAAAATTTAAGCATAAGGAGGAATAACCATCAATTAGAATTGCTGATGACGGGCGGAATGTTCAAGAATGTAAGAAAACTCCCAGCTCATTAAAGATCTGGAAAATTCGAGATAAGAGTTCCGAAAAAGGCGAACTCTTAATACTCGAGAAATAACATTCAAAACGCGCCTCGGATTAACTAAATATAAACAATTCAGTAAAACATCGAATATCTAAAGAAAATACAATTCATAAACACATCTGGCGAGAACAAGGTTCCAAGTGTCCAGCAAAACAAGTCATAAAACTTCTGGCACAATCAAGTCATAAAAATATAAGCAAAAACCACCTCGTCTTACATCCGAAAAAAGGGATATTAAAGGCAGCACTACACGCATACGCTGTTGTCAAACCCAGCTACATGTCGCTCGGATAGTGCAGCGAGAACGTGCCAAAGAAGTCCCCCTCTCATGGTGGGACTACAAGTAAGAAGCTCTCTGATTGGAGCCGTCAATAATGAAAGGACCAATTCGATTAGAAACGCCCAAAAAGAGGCGCTCTGATTGGAAACGCCAAGAAGCAGGAAATCCATAAGGGCCACGCGGTGGCTGAGAGAATGCCTTCAAGAAAGACGCCAGCAAGGCGCACGAGGACTCTCTTGTCACCAGAGAAGCCGGCAAGGCTGCTTCTCCAAGGGAATGCCAAATAACAAGAATGTAGACATACACAGTAAAGGCCAATTAAGAGGCAAAATCTAGTCATATCCAACTCATGACAAGTGTAAGATAAGTCTAAATCAAATCATACACTCGCAGCAGTGCAAGACAAGGAAAAAGGAACAAGTAAACAGTGGTGCACAAGGCACAACATAATCACAACCTATAAGGAGCCGTTTGAGGCAAACTCGGCAAACAATGCGAGGTATAGCCAGAAAAACACAAAATATAAACTATAAGCTGCCGCACGAGGCACAACCTGTAGACATCACTAGCTGCCATCAAGAGCACAAAATCTGCAGAACTCATAAGGTAAAGTTCCATTCCTTAATAACGATAATAATATGCAATAAGCCTCACAAGGAAAGAATTGTAGAATGACCAAGCTCACAACATCTGCAAACGCATAAGAGGCAAGTTTAGCTCCCACAAGAAAGACTTACGAGGCGCCGTACGCAGCAATATCTGCAGACTAAGATCAAATGCCGCCAAAAGCGCACCTGCAGAGCCTTCAACGTAAGCAATAAGACAATACCAAGGCAAATTCAAGCTACTGCCACGTGCCACTGCACAAGAAAGCACAGGGGTTTACGACCTTGTTCTTCTACGTGTATAACACCACCACCACGTGCATTACATATAGAGGACCAGAAGGCTACGCCCTTCTACCTGTATATGCAACGCACATTACAGCTCTGTGACAATAGCAATACAAAACTCAAGAAACGAAGGCATTCAAGCTTAAACTAAAAATCATTATAATACAACTAATGCAATTATCGCAATAAACTAAAACTAATACCAAATCTATTTATTATTGAATACATGCACTATCCTGTCCACTTGCCTGCATTCCTCCCTTCCACCATCTGGGAGTTTACACCTAACTCTAGATATATGGCCCTTCTAGCCAGGTACTCTATTTTTAGACAGACTATCTATTCAGTTATGAATTTTAGCTCATTGTACTTTTACCTATTGCTCTCATCTGTTATTGCCCCCAGTGTTTTTCAACTATTAAGTATCAGTTATAACTTGCGATTACGAATCTTAGCCGCATGCTTGACACGCAGGCTACAAAAAATACGTGTGTTATTATCAGAATATGCAATAACAGGTTAGTAATTCATCAGTGAAGCCACCAAAAGTGTAATCAATTATGTGAACCCGCCAAGCAGTCATTCAGTACGCATTGTCGGTAGTCCTAAGGTACATTCTCCTCGTTAATTCTCCAAGTTAGTCATTTACGCTCAAACGACGTTTCATATCGAGTCTGCCAAGAAAGTGGCGCAGTACGGTCTCAGTGCTGTCATTGCTGAGGACGTTCGTTTATTTCTCTTCATCTCATAAAGTGGCGCAATGTGCTCACTCAGTACCTTTGTTGCTGAGCTATCGTTTACTTTACTACATTAAGGATAGGTGATGCAGTATGCTCTTTCAGTGTCTTCACTGCAGAGAACGTTTGTTCACCTCACTACATCCAGGGCAGGTGGCGCAGTACGCTCTCTCAGTGCCTTCATGCCAGAGAACGTTCGTTCACCCTACTACAACCAGGACAGGTAGCACAGTGCGCTCTCTCAGTACCTTCATGACTGCAGACTGCAGCTCAACAAATAGTCGACTATAACTTCATTGTACCAAGTCCTTCCGTACTCGAAGGCACATCATTTATTGTTCTTACATGTGACTAGCTCCCTAATACTCCCATACCCGCCTTTGGGTATGGTTGATTTACGTGACAACTACCACATAGACTTTGCATTCTCCCCCGTTTGAGTGTAACTTACTCTCCCTACCAAGCACTACTGATTACCATTACCATTCTTCCATGCTCACCCCATGAGCATGGTCGGCTACTCATGCTGATCTTTACAATATCAGCATAGACCCAACATTCAACATCCACAGTAATGTCCATAGCAGCAACGACAACATCATCACTAAAGAAGCACCCTCACCACTGCAATAGAATAATTTCCTCTCTCTTACGTGAAGCAACCATAAACCGCAATATTATAATTAGTAATAAACCAAAATAAAAAATATCTTGACTCAAAAGAAATATTACACAGTACTATCCATCCTTCCCCTTGTGCCTATTCTTTCAAATCGATACGGCGAGAGACTAATCTACTGAACTATTGTGAACTGAATGATAAAAATCAACACTCAATTTCGAAGAATGTGTAATTGTAATAATCGCTTATTAGAAAGTAATAAAAAAACATGAAAGTTATTTATTTAGATATTTAAAACATATTTAATTGCTTTATTTAGTAATTCATATTGTAATATATCATTTATTAATATAACATATACACACACACAAAAGTTACATGAAATCCGTAGCTTTATGAAAAACTAGATGAAGTTGTTGATATTGAAGTATATGAGATTGGATAAAGGTGGAGAATAAAGCATAAGACTCTATGAATTGGATCTAAAGATTCATTAAATTTATTATTTGTTTACGATATCGAAAAACTCAAAATATTGTTCACTATTTGTCTGGGAACAGACTAAAAACCTCCCTTTGATGTTGGGTGGAGTTGTTGCTGGCAAGTGGAAGGG